TTTTTTTTTTTTTTTTTGGTTTAAAATAAGGAAAGAAAATAATTATGAAGCATGACCTAGATAAAAAAACTAGTATTAATTGTGGATGTGAATTGAAGGGGTTATATTTACACACATTTGGAGAAGATATCGGTAGAAAGCTAGTAAGAATGGGTTGATAAGTAGCATGATAAACATGGGTGATATAATAAGTTGTAGAATATCATGATTGTATTTGATATTGTTAAACCCAGATTTGTTCTATAAATCACAATCAAATAATAGAGCGTAGAATGGGAGAGATATAGGGGGGAGAGAGAATGTGCCACATCTTATTGATCATGTTGTGTAAAATTTATAAAGTTGACTTCGCTTTGCAACGGCGCCAAAAAATTGATGTGGTATTTTATGAATAATAACGTTAAGCACTTAAAGTTGGGATTCTACGCAAGTATACGTATCGTTATCAAGTAATATAAGATTTTCTTTTTAAGTCTCAAATATCAATCCCACGGGAAATATTTAAATTTGAAATGTTAATTTAATTAGGAAATGTACAGAAATTAAATAAAATTACTGTCACTAATTTCTAAAATTTAAGATATTATCAAAGCTAACTTATTTACTACTAGCAGAATTTAAAAGTAGGTTTTAAAATTAATAACTACTAAACTGTGTTTATGTGATGAAGTTTTCTAATGTGAAAAAAGATCTTTCCCACTACAATGAGTTTTTGGTGAAATGAGATGAGATAAATAATTTAAATATGTATTGTGCCAAATAGTAGCAATTTTAATTCTCTGCTCTGATTCAGTGTTATCGAAAATCATTGGCTAATTTTAAGTTTAGTCCCTAAATTCGTGGCAGACTAGGAGGATACTGGCTCCCACTCCAAAGCTCCCACTTACTTTCCCCTGAAAGCTAACTCTCGTTTTAATATTTGAACACCAAGAGCGAATTGGGGACTTTTAGTCTGTCACCCTAGAAATCTCCAATTCTACACCCAACAAAGTATATTTTCCTATTTATTTGCACTTAATCCCATGAACGAAATACTCCTTCATGAACTTAAATGTGATTCTTACTCTATTGTAGAACTCATACTTCATTTTTCAGGATCATATGTTTCACAATATATTTTAACAATTCAATTGGTCAGATCGAAAAGTTAATGAAGAGTGGAGTTGAAAAATCATAACAATTTATTTTAAATTTTAATATTAGCACATCAACATTATCTCTTCATTTCACCATATCTCAGAGTAGGGAGAAAGATAAAAGAATCTACTCAGGCTTCATGAGAAAGATACAACAAAACACAAATTTCATATATAAAAGAAAGTTCATACAACAATAATAATAACAAACAACACTTATCTGAAACTCTTTCTCATAGCAAATCCTTATTAGCCTCTCTTAGGAAATGTAGGAATAAGAAATCTCTCATTTCTCTTCCTCTCCAACACTTTTTAGAGAAGAATTCACACTTAAACTCATCACAAAAAACTCAAATCTATAAAAATAATAGCTAACTAATGGTGTGGAATGTGGGTGTGTGAAGAGGTGTGAAGAGGAAAATTGAATGAGTGGAAGAAGTTGAAATAGTGCAAGGGGGGGGGTCTAATCATTTCTGATCAAATTTCTGCCCTAAATAGAGTCTAGGTTGGTTCTCCAATAGGTGCATCCAAAAGCTCTTCAAAAAGTTTCCAAATTCATCAAATCTTCTAGAATGAATCTTCTTGAAACAGGGCTTCCACTGACACCGACGCCGTCGGCGCCCATCTTGGCGCCTGAGACCCGTAATTAAATCCCAAGTTTCTGTCAAATGGCACCGTCGGCACCCACTCTAGCGTCGTCGACGCCCACTCTAGCGCCGTCGGCGCTGAATAAATTTTGAACTTCGCCATTTTTGCTCCAAATTTCCTCCTTTTTGCTTCCTTTTTGCTCCAAGTCCTCAAAATCAATAACCTGCAATAAAACATAGAAAAAATCTTCCATTAAAGTGCAGTATCATCAAAAATGAGTATAAAATATGGGTCTAAAAATGCATATATTTTTTTGTGTATCAAAATCCCCCAAACTTAAATGTTACTTGTCCTCAAGTAACTC